ATATGCATTACAGTGTGGTTGAGGTAAGGAAAAGAAAAAAGAAAAAAAAAAAGAAAATTTCCATTATATTATGTGGTTCACATTATATTTCTGCTGGACAGAGATGCTTTAGAGAAACATGTAGAACCTTCAAGTGGACAGTAAATATGCATTAGGAGACAAGGGCTTTGAATAACTTCTCCCATTACGGTTTCCTGTTGCCATCTCCTTCTACACACTTACTTTCTAGGAGTCTTTAGCACAAGTGGAAGAGCTATAACATAAAATCAACACAGTACTCCCGTAGGACACCAAAATAATACAGATTCTCAAACCATTCTTGCTTTTCGTAGCTGCTGCTTTCATAAGGAGCTGTAGCCAAGGAAAGTTTTTCAATACAGCAGTTAAAACTCTTTGGAGGGGGTTAATTTTCTGTATGGAGCAACAAAGGCCACAGAACCTTAAGATTGGTTTGACTAAATCTTTGGACAAACGTATCTAGATGAAAGCAAGGGTGGAAAAGAAAGAAAAAAGGGTTACTGCTGGTGATCCTGGAGAAATCCAGAAAACAGGCATGGAAGTGAGTTTAAGGAAGACTCCTAGGGTGATCTGTTTCAAGGGTGAAATCTTAAGTCATCAGTGTGAGTCCTGGATTTAATTACAATGCAATTCCATTTGCACACATTGCGCATGTATTCATTGAACGTTTGGGCGTTACACCTGATCAATGCAGACTCTCCTGTGGGTCTCAGGCGACTGATTTCTTAGCGAGGGTAGTGCTAATACAGAGCCACTAGTCACATGTATGGCTAGGGAGCAGTTGAAATGTGGCTGTGACTGAGCTGAATTTCAAATTTTATTTAACTTAAATTTAAGTAGCCACATGTGGTTATTAGCTGCTGTGTTGGCCACTACAGGTGTAGAGCCTTACTATTTCAAGTGTGTGCAAATCAGCAGCACATGTAGCCTCTGGGATTTGGTTAGAAATGCAATATTTCAGACTCTACCTGGACTTCCTGAGATACATTTTGCAGTTTAAGATCACCAGTGATTCCTATGCACCTGAAAATTTGAAGAGCACTTATCTAGAGGGTCTTATTTGAATATACTGAAACCCCTAAAATTGTATAAAAAGTTTGTATGTATATGTGTGTGTATGTATATATATATGCACACTTTACTATTTTCCTTCCCCTAGAGACAATGTCTCTATATTTTTCCACCAGATTTTTTAAGTTGTTCATAATCCAAAATTGAGAAGTTCTTATTTATTATTATTTTAGAGATGGGGTCTTGCTACATTGCCCAGGCTAGCCTCAAGCTCCTAGGCTCAAGCAATTCTCTTGCCTCGGCCTCCCGAGTAGCTGGGATTATAGGCACATGCCATTGCATCTGACTCTCAAGAAGTTCTGTCCTACAGGAATGTAGTCCCACAAAGTGGGGAAAGCAGATTTCATTGAACAAAGAAAAGCCTTAAAGTTATCCTTTGCTGTGCAAGGAAACTTTCCAATTTATGAAAATCAGAACTTGTTCATACTGGGCTTTGTAATTCTTCCATTGTGCTTTTACTTCTTCATATGTCTGAAGCAAAAAACTACATGGTCGGCCGGGCGCGGTGGCTCACGCCTGTAATCCTAGCTCTCTGGGAGGCCGAGGCAGGCGGATTGTTTGAGCTCAGGAGTTCGAAACCAGCCTGAGCAAGAGTGAGACCCTGTCTCTACTAAAAATAGAAAGAAATTAATTGGACAACTAAAAATATATAGAAAAATTAGCTGGGCATGGTGGCGCATGCCTATAGTCCCAGCTACTCGGGAGGCTGAGGCAGGAGGATCGCTTGAGCACAGGAATTTGAGGTTGCTGTGAGCTAGGCTGATGCCACGGCACTCACTCTAACCCGGGCAGAAGAGTGAGACTCTGTCTCAAAAAAGCAAAAACAAAAACAAAAACAAACAAAACTACATGGTACACTCTCTTAGTCTCTTTTTATGTTTCAAAAAAGCACATACACATCACCATAGACTGGTAGTTATAAAACAATGGTCCCCAACCTTTTTGGCACCAGGGACCAGTTTCATGGAAGATGATCTTTTCCACGGATGGGTGAGCTGGGGAATGGTTTCGGGATGATTCAAGCACGTTACATTTCTTGTGCAGTCAAACCTCTGTATTTGCAGCTGTTCCCCAGCATTAGCACTACCGCCTCAGCTCCACCTCAGATCATCAGGCATTAGATTCTCATAAGGAGCACGCAACCTAGGTCCCTCGCATGCGCAGTTTACAGTAGGGTTTGTGCTACCATGGGAATCTAATGTTGCTGCTGATCTGACAGGAGGCGGAGCTTCTGCAGTGATGTGAGCGATGGGGAGCAGCTGTAGATACAGAGGAAGCTTCACCTGCTGCTTACCTCCTGCTGTGCCATCCAATTCCTAATGGGCAATGGACAGGTACCAGTCTGCGGCCAGGGGGCTGGGGACTGTAGTTATAAAGCATTTATTTATATATATTCTATTTTGCATTATACACATACACACCCTTATTTTTTTTAGTGGAAATTGACCACGAAATGTATTCCAGAGCAAATACCAGTTGGTGCTAATTTGTAGTGGCCAGAACAACTGTTGATGTTACAAGTACTGATGTACTATTGCAGTTGCCACCAATTTTGGGGTTGATTTAAGAATCAACCAGGAATTTTTTCATTAGTATCATGGCTATCTAGTTATTACCTACAACATGAACCACGAATAAAAATATTTGAAAGTACAATTTTGATTATTTAGCTTCCTTTTCCCTAGGAAATAGTGCTGGTTTTACATTATAATAAAAATAATGTTCCCTTATTATTTCTTTTAGGCAAAAATTAGAAAACAATAACAACTTTGTGCTGAGAATGAGGCTGCTTTCAGGCTTTGTAAATGTGCCTCAGAGAAACTTCCTCCCTTTGTTAACAACAACAAAAATTGTTCTGACTTCTGTGCTAAGGCAGTGATTTACTCTGGTTGACTAAGTCCCCAGAGTTAGACAGTATGTCCCCGAGTCTCAAAACAGCTTTAAGAATCCATCTTGGGTTATTATTTTTCCACTAGTTTTTAAGAAGAGACATGCACAAACTACCATTTGTGCTAACAAAGCCAGGAAAATCAACTCATCACATGGAGCCATAAGTATTTCCTAGATAAAGAAAACATTAGTTTAGTCTCACTTTTTCCTTTTTGGAATGCAAATTTATACTGGTTGAGCATCCCAAATCCAAAAGTCTGAAATCCAAAACTTGTAAAAGTTTTTAAAATTTTTATTTTTTTAGAGATAGGGTTTTGCTATGTTGCCTGGGATGGCCTTGAACTCCTGGGCTCAAGTGATTCTCCCACTTCAGTCTCCTGAGTAGCTGGGACTATAGACACGTGCCACCTTGCCTGGCACAAATCTAAAACTTTCTGAGCACCAAAAGATTCTCAAAGGAAGTGCTCACTGGAACATTTCAGATTTTGGATTTTTGAATTTGGGATGCTTAACTGCTAAGTGTGTGTATTTCAAAATTTGAAATACTTCTGGTCCCAAGCATTTTGGATACTCAACTTGTAAATGCAGAACTGCTGAATGCATTTACAATAGGACAAAATAATTGTCACTTATTAGTCTGATGAAGGAGAAGAACTGCTATTACTGAAAAGTGCAGACAGGACTACTATACATTTAATAAATTTGGCTTTTGTAGGACAAAAGATTCCTTAGAAACTAGCCAGCTAAAAGGGCAATTTATCATGATCCTTTTTAAACCTCAGCATTGTGGTGGATGTCATTAAAACAAAAGGGCTGAAAAACAGTTCTCTGTCTTGTTTCCACTACCAGATACAGGACAAAGGTCATTCACATTCTCATGGTGTGAGGTTCCTGGTATGCTAGCCTTTCATTCCTTTCCACTCCAGAAAGCACACTGGAAGGCCACTGAGTGATGCCACTGTAAGGATAACCTTGAGTCCAGTCCAACAGTCAATTAGCACACCATGGGATACTTAGCCTATTCTCATATCTCACACCTGAGCACAACACACCTGTGTCAACACTATTTCTGAGGATCCCTCATTAATTTAGTTCCTTACCTTTAGTCAGGCCCAAGATCCTTATTTGCATTGTTTTATATATTTATTTATTTACATAACCGGTAGAAAGGAGATTTTAAAAATATTTATTACATTCGGTTCTAGAAATGATAGAAAATTAAAATTGGTACAATTATGTTATACAACTTTGGAAAGGCATATTAACCTTTCACCCAGAGAAAAGTTTTATGCAATGCCAGAAACGGAAATACCTAAGCCATTGGTGACAAAGGGTAAATGCTGCGGATAGAAGGAGCCCTTGTAAATTTTGAGTTTTCTTCTTTGCCATTATTTATTTTTGAGCAAATCCTAGTCCAGGGAAAAGAATTCTGAACATAAAGGCACCTAGAGTAAAAATCAGATCTTAACTAATACAAACAGCTACACATGTTTACACCAAGGAAAAAAAGCCCTATCAAAGCAACACCCCTGCAAGGCATCGATAATATAAATGAAAAAGCCATTGCAACTAAAAAGTCTATAAAGGCTTACCTGAATCTGGTATGTGAACTGGATAATGACAATTACTTTTGTGTTTATAAACCTGTAGATGTTTTATAATTTAAATCAGCACGAGTGCTATCTTTATACTCATAGGTGGAGGCTCTCAAATTATTTACCCATAGTCCAGATTTGTTTTGTTGCATTTGCTCTTAAAACGCACTGTTGCATATTCCATTAATGGATATGTTAAAAATTCCTGCTGTCTTTCAAGAATGTAGAAAAACCTAGAACTGCTACTTTAAACCAAAGTCCTTCTTCATCATTACAAAGCCAGTAAAGCTGACATTTTACCATGAGGTAAGCACCTGAAGTATATTCTGACCAATTTATATTTTGTGAGCTAAAATTAGGATCTCCAAAATTTGTGTAGGTGTACAAATATTGCAAATTATTTCTTTAAGCTAATAAAAAACTTTAAAAAATACAAATAATCTTTTACTACAAAGATTCAAAATCCACATACGGGTCTGTACTAAGGGAAAAATGAACAGGAAGCCAGTAAGCAAACACTTGTCTGCACTTTCTAATCTGTGGACAAGGTACCAGTCAACGGAGCCAGGTTGTATTCAGCTGGGTCTGGTTCTTGATGCTGGTATCCATTTTTAGCACTTCTCGAATGGCCATGGTAGCATAAGTGGAAGGAGGAAGAGAAAAATCCATTTTCAGAGCCCTGTATTTGCCTTCTGCCAGGCAGGAAAGAAGAGAATAGTCAGAAAACGAAGACAGCTGCAGACAGACCGGAGAAGAGTCATATAATCTCTATACAAACACAAAGAACTGTGCTCCTTTCTTTAGGCTCCACTTCCCAAGGGGCCTCAGAGAATGCGACCATGGACGTAAGAGATCTGTGAGTGTATGAACCAGTTGAACAGTTACGGTAATTCTACCTTGGAACCTTCATGAAAGGGCACGTGACAAGAAGAGCACAAGAGAGAAGTACATGTTAAGTTTAAAAAAATAAATTAGGGCACAGGGGAAAACAGAAAAAGGAATGATAACAAGAATTTGACAATGACAATGGAAATTTAATTTTTTAGACTTTCTTCTTGAATTTTCACTCACTTTTGCTAACCCTGTAGGGGATGGGAAGGAAATAATCAGTCACCTAATATCACAACCATCTATAACGTTCATTCATTTTCAGGGAGATTTGCTATTTTAGTTATGACCTTCATCTATAATCATGAAAGTAAGGTGACAAAACACAAATGGAAATCATAGAGTGGGTGGGTAGTGGTGGTGATTATCAGAGGAGTTTTTAAAAAAATTTGCATTTTTGTATGAGAAAACATTTCAAAGGTGACACAGAGCTGATGACTGAGTAAACTTACCAGAAGGAAAAACTGGTGGTGGTTTCCCTTCCAGGTTGTCCACATCTGTGTTGAAAAGCGGAATTTTGGGATCATCATATGCAACGACTTCCCTTCAAAACACATAAAGTATGCATGTGAGCTTTCATAAAAGGTACTAAGTCACTCATTACCATTTGTTTAGTAAGAAAAACACATAGGCTGGGTACAGGTGGCTCACATCTGAAATCCCCAGCACTTTGGGAGGCCAAGGCAGGAGGATCACTTGAGCCCAGGAGTTTGAGGTTGCAGTGAGCTATGATGCTGCTGCTGCACTCTAGCCTGGGCAACGGAGTGAGACCTTGAAGCCCTGTGGCCCCTAAGCCAAAGGCTATGGCCTGGTACCAGTCCAAGGCCTGTTAGGAACTGAGGCTACACATCTGTATTTACAGCTGCTCCCCTTCACTGGCATCACCGCCAGCTCCCTACCATCCTACTCCATCCATGGAAAAACTGTCTTCCATGAAACCAATTCCTGGTGCCAAAAAGGTTGGAGACCTCTGCTGTACCACTCCCCCCCCCCCAAGAAGCTTCACTCTAGGAAACATACAAACATAATGAATGACAGACGTTTCTCTACACAGGTAGCTGGGAAACATATGTTCGGACAGAATCCAGAGCCAAGGACGGGAACCTCAGCTTCTGTAAAGGCCCATCTTGGATTTTCAAACCCACCCATGCTTGAAAAGACAAATTGCTAAACTCTGTACTAAGAATCCAACTGGACTCCTAGCGTAGTGTTGAGTATTAAGAAAAAATGATACAACACATTAGGTCACCGCCCTTTTGATTCAGGTGTCTTGACAGTTGAAATAAGTATGTTTTAACCTTCCTTTGATTCACAAAGGGACTTCAGTAAATTAAGAGGACCTGTATCCAAAACTCAAAAAGAGGCCGGGCGCGGTGGCTCACGCCTGTAATCCTAGCACTCTGGGAGGCCGAGG